GGGGGGGGGGGGGTGGGTAAACTTACTGGTCTAGTAGGGAACTTATTCTACCTCATTCTGCGGTCCAGATAGAAGGACATGAGCCCTGAACGAAATTTGTAATATTTCCCTTAAATAGGTCCCCCCCAAACCCCTATATAGTCCCCTATAGGTCCCCCCCAACCTAAATTTAGTCCGTAGCTCACATGTACCGGCAGAACTTGCAGACGATAGGCTACCTTCCGGCTTCAGCTGTTGGATGCTACCACAATATGAGCTATAGTCTCAACCCCTGGTATCCCCATTAATATTCCCTGGTATAGGGTTTATATGGTTTAGGGTTCACGCTTTAGGGTCTAAACTCCTAGCATCCACCTTAGTAAGCCCTCAAGTACCCCTCTATATAACCCCTTTAAGGAGTTTAGACTATAGTTCTCAAATGACAGTCCTGTTGCACCATTTTATTTCCCATTATCCCAAATAGCCCCTTTATAACCCCTATATAACTCCATTATTGGGCTCAAATGACAGTCCTGCTGCACAGGCAGCGCTGCAGCCTCAGCACCTTCTCGTGTTTCCAGCTCCAAGGCCACTGCGCTTGGGCCGAGGAAATGCCAGGCCCGTACTAGGCCTGCGGACCGTGCCATACTCCCTGCTATGTTTTCAGGGGTTTCGGGGTTCAGGAGTTTTAGGGGTTCAGGGGTTTGGGATGGTTGACATGCTACAAGAGACACCCAAGGGAAACCCCATGGTGGCAGCGAGATGGCAACGCGCATGGCCACAGTAGGCTGGCCTCGGCGCCACATGGAGAGGAAGTCACCTCAGCCAAGGTGGGCGTTATCACACCCAAATGAGATGAAGAGAGTCTCATATTTCGCGCCAAGAGGCCTAACATCCTCAGGGCACAACATGCATAAACACATCTCCGGCAAGCTGTCAGCAACTCTATGCCTGTCGTCCACAGGTGGTTGCGGGTAGTCTTCCTCCTCCTCATCAGGTAGCCCAGCATGGCTGGGAGAAAGCACCCCCTTAACATCCTCTATGTAGTCCCCTATGCAACCCCCTTTTAAGGAGTTTACCCTCAACATGCCCTATATAATCCTCTTGGCAACCCCCCTCTCAAGGAGTTTAGATTAAAATGGCTTACATGGCTCACTTCTGCGGCTCTGGCTCCTCCTCGTCCAGGGACAGGCTGAGCAATGCAGGCGTGCGCTCCCGAAGGGGCTTCCTGGGTTGCTGTTAAGGAACTTAAATTAAGCTACTGTACTGGGGAAACCCTATTATTTACTATATTTATATATGCCCATTGTGGTAACTTTATTTAAGTTCTTTAACAGCAACCCAGCTTCTCGAAGACGTCGCCGCTAAAAGGTGCCAAGACCGAGGCAAGGTAGGAAAGGTTCCTGAGGCTCAGGGTATATAGGAAGTCTTCAAAGGATATAACGGGGGTATCTATACTACTATGACAAGTAGGAAATTTTCCTGAAGCTCAGGGTATAAGGGAGCTCTAGAGATGTATAGGGGTCTAGAATGAATAAGGGGGCTTACTATCATTCTAGTACGATGGGTACCTATATTGTTAACATTACAACTGTTCTTGTTATCCTTATTCCTAATGTTGTTAGTCATCTTGTTATTGTTAGCCTTCTTGTTGTTATCATTATCATTATTGTTTAATATTCTTGCTATTTTTTGTTGAATATTATCATTACTATTCTTGTTATCACTTCTATTGAATAGTATCATTATTGTTATTGTTATTATTCTTATACATTATCAGTATTATCACTATGATGATTAGTATTGCTATTGTTTCTGGGTTCTGAGGTCCCTGCTGGTCTGCTGCCAGGAGAGCTTCGTGAGTTTGGGTGCGAGCATCTGGGTCCAGCCACAGAACCCGGCCCCGGCCCCCGAGGCCCAGGTAGCCTCCAAACACACACATGGCTATGCTTACAACTATGCATTATAAATGCCTTGTATTATTGCATATAAAATGCATAGGCTATGCATAAATTGCACTGCAAGATTTGGGGGTCTAGATTGGGAACATCTTATGTACCAAGATTCCCTAAACCCTAAACCCTGTATTGGGGTCCACATACTTAGAGAAACGAAGCTCACCGGCGAAGATCTGCCTTCCTCCAGCTCCTCTGGGAGCCGCCCTAGCCGGCCCTCCTCTGCCAGATCCTGAAGACAAGCTGAGGGGGGTACGGGGGTTCCCTTTGAAGAGATTATAGGGCTCATGCAAGGGTTATGTAGGGATATATAGCTGAGGGGTTACCTTTCGAGGGATTAAAGGGGTTATACAGGGGTTACATAGGGATATGTTATATAGCGTTAGGGTTTAGGGTTTAAATCTCGCACGCCCCGCATCTTACAGCTGACTTACTGATGGTGAAGGATTTTCTTTCCCTCCCGCTTGGCTGGTACGCATGCAGGGCAACTGAGGTCACAATCGGAATGGGCAAACCACTGCGAAAACCGGAGTGAATTACAGAGTCGTCCGAAGCAACCAAACAAAGAACACCAAAACCCATTTAGGGTTTCGGGTTCGTAGGGACTAAGGGAACATATCTGCTACAAGTATCATGGAGAATCAAATGGAAAAGAAAATGGAACATGAAATGGAAAGAGGGTTTATGGGGTGAATATAGGGCTAGATACTGGTGTTGAGTAGAGAGTAAAGAGAAACACTCCCTAAATGATATGTCCCCTTATACCCACCCGTAAGTAAGAAATATCATCCCGACATGGAAGGATTTTCAGGTTTTTGTCGTTGAAAGGCCAAAGTTTTTCAGCCAGAAGCCCTGCCTGCATGGCCTGGATGGCCTGATCTCTTTCCCCGGACTGCTGACAGAGCTTTAGGACGCAGAAGCCCTTCTCGAAAAGGCATGTAGAGATCTCGGCGCCAAGCACCGAATCACTGGTCCGTGGCCCCAGGACCTTGGTGCACAGTGCGGGCACTGATTTTGAAACACTGGCACCCGACTTGTTGTCCCTTCCAAATGTCCTTAAGGGGGCGGGTGGTCCAAGGGGGGGCAGGTAACCTAGTAGTCCCCATTATTCCCTTATACTCCCTATAAGCTTCCCTAAGGTTCCCCAAGGCTCGCTTGTACCCTCCCTCCTTGAACCACCCCCTCTTTTAGGATGCTATAGTTCCCAGCTGCAACGTCGAAGGCGAGGTCAGTGCCCCCCTGTAGCGGCTTCCGGGTTTCCGCGCAGGCGACGGGTCCGGACGCCAGTGATCCGTCCAGGAGGACTACGTTGCCATTGGAGCCGGAGATGTACTGCAACTGACCAAGGGCGCCATCCGGCAAAGAGACAAGGCCTTGGTATATAAACCCATTATAGCAGTTTCCATGTTCTTTTCCATTATCCCTATGTAACCCCAGCATACTATATAGTAATTTCCATTTTCCTTTCCATTATCCCATATATAACCCTGGGATAAACACCAATATTACCCTGGAAGAAACAGGAGACACTCCCAAAGATCTGAGACGACCTTGGCTCAATGCCGCCCAGGTACTACCAGGCCTTGGAGCTGGCATTGCCTGCAAAGCCACACCAGGTAACAAAAATGATAACAATAATGAAGTAATAGCAATTAAATACTCATAATAGCAACAACAAAAATAACAACAATGGCAACAACAATAATAATGAGTTCTGCCATGAGTTGACACATTGACATCTTCGCTGCAAGGGTGCCTAGTGGCACCCAGCCGATTCCGGTTGCGGCGCACATTTCTCGAGCCAGTATGGCTGCATGCTGGTACATTGTGGCCTTATTAGGGACTATATTGCGCACTCTACTAAACTACAAGAGTGGCCCTTCGTAAAGCAAATATTGACAGTAGCTCATATGGGACCCCAAAATACTATAGTCCTGATTTGGGACCCCCAAAATGGTACCCCTAACTTTGGGAAACCCCTAATCCCTATAAACTACCCTATAATCCCATTTCCATTTCATTTTCCATTTTCTTTTCCATTTGATTCTCCATTATTGGGGGTAATAGGTACAATAGCTCATATGAGCTACTGTCTAAACTCCTAGTATCCCCCTTAATAACCCCTATAGTAGTCCCCTATATTACCCCTATATAATCCCCCTTCAAGGAGTTTAGATTATGGCTCATATGGCACCTAAAGTTGCATCAAGCATGTGCTTACTACCCAGCTTCCAAGGCCGTCACAGGCCGCTGTAGAGGTCCCCGCAGTAAACGACGATTAGCAGCAGCACCCACCCGATTCTCACCACCTGGGTTGTTGTCAAAATTATGGTCCCTTTTTGGATCCCTTTTAGAATGCGGCACCTAATATTTAGGGTACCCCAAAAGGGACCATAATTTTGACAACCAACCACCTCAATTGCAGGGTTTCAGTCATATCTCTTGCGCTGCAATCTGAATCGCATGTCCCATTGCTTGCTGCTGCGGTCCCAGGCGCGATCCAGCATAACCAGAATACGATGACCTAATACTGGTTCCCTCTGCAACTCTGCAGTCACAGCTTCTGAGACTCTATGTCCATGTTGATTCACATGCATAAAAATCTTGTTTTGTTCACTGAGGCCCGAGCTGCGAGCTTGTATAGCGGCCTGGAGCTGCAGACGTCGGCAACCCATGACCCCAATCTCCATCCAGTACACTAGATCTCTGTATCCGCCCAAGCAGCTCTTGTGTCCAACCAGCTTCCTGCCACAAGCAAGAAGCCATCTGATCTGGACAAGTCCTTCCTTTTTGCCCCACGATGCCTTCATCATTCGAGTGCCGACTAAACATGGCCTCAAACAAGAACACACAAGCTGCAGACCGCCTGATTTCGGCTCAAAAGCCGAAATGCTCAGGACCGCGCGTCGTAGTCTCCATGAGGATGACCTCTTTTTTTCTAGCGTTCACATTTGCGTGGCTATGGCAACTGTGCATCCCCGGCCGCTGAACCCCAGAAGGTTGCGGTCCTCAACACCTTTGACACTCCGTTTGCAAGACCAAGGACCGGCTCGCTGGAGGTGTCTCTCTCTCAGGGCAACGCGAGCCAGTTCAGGCATATCACTAACGTCACCAAATGGTGCAACCTTGGTCATGTTGACGCAACTTGCCGGCAATTCCCAGAAAGTGTCTTCGCTGATTATACTCTACTCCATTCTCATGAATCCTGCATGAACCATGCCCTTCCGCGAAGTGAATTTCGCCCAGGAAAGCCTGGAGAGCTGACTTGCTGCCCTGCACCCCGGGATCCGGGCCAGAAGGCTAGATCCTTGCCGTAGATGGCGTACAGGACCAGCCTAACAAAGTCGGTGAAGGGTTCAGGTTCAGGTTCAGTTTGGACTTCTTGGAGCTTTGAATAACCATTCCTCGAATTTGTGGCGGTGGTGGCGGTGGCGGCGGCGGCGGTGGCGGCGGCGGTGGCGGCGGCGGTGGCGATAGCGGTGGCGGTGGCGGTGATGATGGTGGTGGTGGTGGTGTTGGCGGCGGTTAGGGTTTTGCATACCGAGTGAGAACGTTAGGAAGTTGGCAAGGAATACTCGGAGCTGCAAAGGCGTGTTGGGGACTAGCAGGCCTTGCGGGCGTGTTCTAACTAAATTCCAGGAATAATTAAGCCAGCGCTCTTATGAGAATCCTTGCCAATGCTATGTCCCCAGGCCCTCATGCTCAAGGTTGTGCAAGAGTTTGCCATGCTGCTACAGCGAACAGCAGCCACCCATAGTCCCGAAAGACATCTCCAAGGCAGTGGCTCGTACAGATTAAAACCCACGAAAATGCGGCCAGCCCATTCACCTCCAGTCTCAGCACAACCACTCCTGGCGTAGAGGTAAGAATCATATCGCGATGTAGGCCTGCACTGGCGGGCCTGGGCTCAACATATCCCAGCTTCTTCGCACACACGCACATGGCAGGTCTTGGCTCAGCATGCTGCCCTTGCACATTAGCCCAGCGAGCTTCCCGATCCTCATTTACAACACGCGCCGCAGCCTGGTTAAAATGGGACCCAGCGGGCTGCAAGGCTCGGCCCGCTACCCTGAAGCCCTCTTCCCACCTCAGTGACTGCAGGTACATGTATGGAACTATGAAAGACCGACCTATATTATGAACACAAATACGATCACTGCAACCAAAGGCAAGCAAAGCAAAACCGTGGCCACATCAGAGGCCCTGGCAAGAAGATGAGACTCAGGGCGACCATGCCGGGAGGTGCCACGAATAGCATGAGACGATTTGCCATCTGCAGTGTGCAGGAGATTTGTGAGAGACAAAATTCTCAAGCAAGACCCAAAGGAGTCACAAGCAATCCCTCCCCACGGCACACATCAGGTCATGCAGGACGCCTGCTGCTGCTGTTTGAGGTCCAATTTGCGCATCTGCAACAATGCAAGGATTGCAACAGCCCACAGAGCTTTGAGCTTTCACCGGCCCCCAAGCCTTTGGCCAGTAGACTAGCAGCCGTCGCCTGGGGCCATTCAGCCCATGATCACCAGTGCAAACAGCTGTACCCGGCTCCATGCCAAATACTCTTGGCTTTCAGGCAGAACCGAATGTTGCAACAGCATCGCTCCCGTCACTCCTAAGCAAGGCAGCGAAATCTTGATACAGAAATGCTTTGCAGAATTTCGACGGTGCGAGTCCTGCCTGCAATCTCAATGGCCAACATCGTGTCAAAATGGAGGGCTGTGCCTGCATGAAATTCACAGCAGGAAGTGGTCGTCTTATGCCGCTTTAATTCAGCCATCATGGTTCGAATCCGCGCCTCTATTCACCGAAAAAGGGAGGCCACACGGTCTGCTACTGCGTGTCAGATTGCTGTACCGGTCTTCTCGTATGGCTAAGTAGGCTAATAGTCACCACTTGTCAAAGACCCCCCCCCCCAACGTTTGGTCCGATTCCCTACCTGCTTCTATTGTGTCCTTTCTTTGCCTACACCTGCATGAACGAACTACTCCTTTGACAACCTCTGCCAACTGTCTCCCAACAATTTCGTGCGACGCGTTCTTCGTGCGAGGTGCATTGTCAAGTTGCAAAGCTTGAGCCTGAACAAACACACAAACCCAAATGTCCGGGCTGTGCACCCTCCCGCCCGCCCGGGCTATGCGAGAAGCACCCACGTCCGAATGCATGCAACCACGTTGGGTCCTATCATGTCATATCAACAGAAACCCATGTCTACGCGCACGATGCCCGTTCCCTAAAAACAGCACACACTGCCTATCATCCCCCGCACAAAATAGTGCTGCTGAGCTTGGTGCGTGCAATCAGCAAATTGTGTTTATGGTTGTGCATGTGTGTTCTGCGCTCAATGTTCCCCCCATGATAAATTTCCTGTTTGGTTTTCTTCATGACACGTTTCAAAGTACACAGTTGCCTCCGCAGCCACTTTGGTGGTTGGCATGGCTACTGACTGACATTCTTTGGTCACCCCGAGCCATAACCAGGATTGACATCAATAAGGTTTCCTCACGTGCTGAAGACATTGCATAACAAGAACGCAGCAAAAAAACAGAGCTTACCCTTGCCACACATGCAAGTGATCAACTTCAGACCTTTTGCAATGGGTTCTGGGTGTGGACGATGCTCCATGCGTTGGGCCGCATGATGGATCGGTCGCTCCTTCATGTGACCCGAAACTGCAATGGATGCATCGACTGTTTCTTGCGATATGTACAGCCACACTGTGCACCAGGGATGTCGCAGTGGGCAGGCAACATTCTGGGGCTACTATAGGAGCTTCAACTGCAGCAACAGCTGCCACGCATGCAGCTGTAGGTGAGGATCTACTGTAATTGTACCTCAACCTTCTGCAGCAAGCTCCGAAGAAGTCGTATCAGGCATGGATGAAGCACACATGCGTGTCCCAGGATCCACCCGCCGCTTTAATCTGAGCCATTTTTTCGGATCCTTCTGATGGAGATCTTTGCATGTGGGGGGTATGTGGAGGCAGCCTGGTTCTCAGAAGACACAAGGAACTCCCGCTGCCACGCCCACCCAGCTTACCACGAAACCGAACCAGAGTCAAGTGGCAGTGCACTGTGACTTGCCTCTCATCCTGCAACTGCGACGCGTACTGTGCTCTCCTCTAGCGCCACTAGACCCGATACAGACCCAAGTGTGGTTCAACGGTCCAGTCCACCAGTTAGTTGGATTGTGCCTTGCAAGCTTCCTTCTGCATTTCCGAGGGCGACGGTATCGATCCCTTTGCAACGTTACTTGCGCAACGTCCCAGGTGATGTACCTGGTCACGCCCTGCACCTGCGTGCGTCATGCTTCCATGAACTGCAGATGCCACTCGCTGCCTTGGGTTCTCCGCAAGGACCAGCTCTGGTGGCCTTTGCTTCTACACGAGACTAGGCGCACGCAAGGCCCTTGCGCCACGGACGCTGACTGCGGGGTCCTTTTGGGACCCAAATATTCTAAGTTGTCTATCCGCCCTACGCGTCCCGTAGAAGGGGTCTATAATTTCAGGGAATGCCCAGGGTAAGACAGCTGTCTGCAGATGCAAACCCATGCCAACCAGGTTGACCAACAGCGGAAACAAGGGAGCAGCCCGCTACAGA